ATGTGCAGTCTTCCAGTGAAACTGATCAAATGCTTCCTGCAAATGGTGACGTTTGTTTTGTCTTAAATATGTCTTTGCATGTATTGTCATTATGGCTGTCAGACAATTTAGTTGGATGTGATTTTATGTGCATTGCTTGATTCATTTCTGGTATGGGACTGTTTCAGATGGTTACATTGAATTGCAGGTAGCACCATTCTTTACTTTTTTCTTCTCATTGGAATGATTATAATTATTGATTTCATAAAACTGGTGTTTCTAATTATTTTTACTTGTAGATTCAAATTTTTATTTCAACAACTGATATTTGTACATGTACTGTACATTGTAGGTTTTAAATGCTTGGTATTGTATGATTAGGATATTCATTCAGTTGGACAGCATTTTAGGACTTGAAATGATTTACTGGGTCAACGTTTTCTTATCCTTGATTAGTAACATTCCATGGATTTATTCATACTTTGGCACAAATACTGCTAATGTAATAGTAATAGTGACATGGTGATTTGAAGGAACAATCAAATACAGCAGGTTGTGAAGTTATTGCGTGGTCAATATTGGTTTGATTGTTTGACAGTTTGGTTATTTAAATAGTGCTGCTTTTTGTCACATGGACTTCTACATAGGAAATCAGAGATGCGTTTCCTACATTGTATTTCCTTTCCTTTTCAAAGAAACACTACGTGTATTTCTTTGAGAAGTATTTCAGTGGTCGCATGATTTCAATTAGTTTGAGATTTCTACATACATGTATACACTGTACATGTATTCTGATATTTGAATACCGGTACATACAGCATGTACATGTATATTCTTTTTAACTTGGGCAATTCCAAAATGTAGTTTTCAACAGGGTATTATGTTGAGAAAGGGTTTGAAAGAGATGAGAGGGGTTTGAAAGAGATGAGAGAGAACAAAATCTCACATACACATTCATTGTACATGTACATGAACTGTAATTTCGAGTTTGCATTTATAAGTAGTAGTCATGGCACCATGACCATAAATGGTCACAGCCATGATGAAGACAGGGTCAAAACACAACACCTTTCATTATCATTGGGACTAGGTAGGTGATGGTTTGATATCGCATTGAACCTTCATGGATGATATCTCTGTCTTCACGGAACACTATACGTCTTGTGCCGTGCCATACTGTGTCACATCTGTTTTTCCAATGTTTTATTCATTTGTACAGTGTAAGTTCACTCTAAGTGGAGATGTTCACCTCAACCCAAATTCTTGTTGTGTTGTTTGTATCACATCAGATCATGATGCACTGTGATACTGCAACTGTATGCATGTACCATAATACACAATGCTACAGCAGTCAGAGTTTTGAAATTGGAATTAGTGAAATATGCCATTATGATCCTCGGCCTTGAAGGTTATTGTGGTTTACGATGCAGGTCTTCATCCTGGAGTATTCTCCCAATATTCTTTGTAACGTTCTTTCAAAAAAACGATAATATTAAAAAAATTAAAATGAGATTAACTATGATTTTTTCCCCAACCCCAATTAATGTTTGTAAACAGGTTCCTCCAAATGTATACCAGCCAGTAAAATCAGATACTACTTCTACAAGATAGTTTTTATGAGAAAAATAAAAAGACAGTCCTTATAGTGTGAACATATCGTTTAACTCGTTGTGTTAAATGTAACACACTCTGCCCTCCCCTTTCACGCTGTCCTTCATGAGTCATTACTGCTCAGTCAGTAGCCACCAGGCAATATTCTAATGTGTGTATCGCCCGCTTAGAGTCGAGATGACAGTCACAGCTACAGCTATATTGAGTCACCTATCTCTGATGAGAAACAGGAGAGCTCAGTTTGATGGAGATCTGCCAGGGGGCTTTATGAAGATGCCTTGATTATCCCTAAGATCAATTTTTGAATCTCGGTTATGATTTGATGAATATATATATTTCTTCATCATCAATTGGCCCGAATCTGCACCCGGCCGAGCTGACACAAATTTGATTATAGATGGTGGAGGTAATGAGGCGTGTGATTGGGAAATTGATAGAAGATACACTTTCAGGGGTTTAACCTGCACAACCATGATGGATGTATGATGTTGTGTACACACCACGATAGAAGTGTGTTATTGATTTGTGGATGGGTAAAATCTACATCCACAGTGAGTCAGGGGCTACATACATGAGTGTAGGAGTGTATTGCAATGTACTCACTCTGAGTGCTTTTGGGATTCCTGATGGAGTGAGTGAATGCTCATATTTATAGCAAAATTTCTTTTTTTCATGGGTACTAAGCGAAAAATATAAAGTGTGCCATCTTTTCTGGCACCACAAAGATACAGAATGAAGGGTGTTGGGGACTACATGTGTGAATGGTAGAATACTACAGGCCCTGCATTTTACAGTACATGCTCTGCATTTACAGTACATGCTCTATATTAATTATATTACATTTCTGCGTGACATCTACTGGGGTAGATTTTTATTGCAGGCAAAAGTGATGTTTATGACAGCATGTTGTAGACAAACAAATTCAGTGTCAAAACACAAGAAGGAATAAAATTAAATTATTAAAAAAAAAAAGGGAAATGGTGCCACCTGTTTACATGTATGTTTATTGGCACCATTAGTTAATACAATTTCATCATGTTTATATGTATACTGTATGCAAGATATCGTGCAGTACACACATTGATGTTTTTCCATGTTCTTGAAGTTTGGTTTCACATAGGCCATCATGTAGTTGTACATGTACATGTATGTCTCGGTACATTACACTGCTGCTCTCTCTTTCCCCTAATATTGATTATGAATCTGGTTCAGGTTCACATGTATTTCAGTATTTCATTCCTTCCTTGCATCACTTTAAAAGCCATCATAAGTCAATATCCTGTATCCTTAAAATCTTCAGTTTAAGCCTGATAGCCCTATCAGTTGAACAGTTCCCATCCTTCTTGCAAATCTTACTAGGAAATCAAAATGGGAGGTGTCTGTGCCCAGCCCAAAAAGATGGCCTACCCTGTTATATTTTCATAGCAAGGTCAGCTATTTCAGATTTTGAATGCATCTATCTAGATCAGATGCATCTATTTCCTTGAGCAAATTGTTGGAAAAAAAAACAAATCCCAAAATGTCCTTGCGCACACCAATTACAGCTGAGAAGACTTGTAATGCACTTTTCTGTTTCAAGTGTTTTTACTGGGGGTAGGGGTAGAATTATTTTCCTGTCGATAAATTTTATGAATTTGTCATCAGACTTTGAATGTGTGAACTGGTTGAGCTCAGAAATATTTTTTTAGGGATTTTTATTTTTTTTTCTCCCCTATGTCTTGAAATATCATGAATAAAGGTGGACCTACTCAGTTTGAAAGATTGTTTGAAAGGACTAGCCTTCCCTTTTCTTCAGAGTTGAATGTTCTTCGCTCAGAATTCAGGGGTATCTGTCAATCAGAGGTCACCTTACATTGAGACATAACATGAATTTTCCTTCTGTTCCATTGGGCATGTTATGGGCATGGCATGTCTTGCTGATACCAAGTGATAAATCACTGTGCAGTAACATCTTAACCAGGATGCGTGGAGGAACATGAAGTCGCACACTCGTAATAATGTATGTGATGCACATGTCGTGGGGGGAACTACAGTAGCAGCTGTGGAAATGTTTACAGATTAATGTTGCGATTTATTGCAGAGACGTTGCGAGCTCAATTGAGAGACATTTGTCTTGAACATGCACAGGGGAATGGATAAAGTACATCCTGTACTGGGATCATAAAACAACTTGAGATTTTATTGTTTTAACCATTCCGCCATCTCGTGGCTTTAAATGACATTGACTTTAATACAGTGAAATTTCAGCTACATGTTCGTGCATGATTACTGTCAGGGTTGGTACGTTTCTGTATGTAGATCTGCTGCAAGCAGTGCATCAGTGTATACACCACCAATGTCACATCAGATTTCAGGCCCTTTATCTCTTTCATTATGTTATGCCTAGTCTCAGCAATATCACTCTGTAGTCTGTAGGCCTGTCCTCATCAGCTCGAGTTTTCCAAATAACCCGCTATTTTCAGACTTGTGACATTATCCCGAGCTCAAAATTGCGTCTTCACCAGACCGATACGCTCATCACAAACTAGCTCAGACGGACGCAAATTAGCTCGCTATTTCCCAAATATTGGAAAATTTTGGAAACAAGACAAATATTTCTCTGGATAGTTTCTTGACAAAATGTCCCGCTAATTGCAACTGCGGGCTGATGGGGACGCATATTAACTGGTTAATTTGCGATCAGGATAGTTCAACTAGCGGGTCATTTAGCTAATTCGAGCTGATCAAAACAGGCCTTGTGAGTATGAAGAAAATGATATTGTGTGAACCCTGGAAGCAGATGAGTCCATGGGTAAGGTTTCAACGAGAAACAGACATTGTTAGAGCTACTTCTTTGGGGGGTAGAGATTCTGTTGCAACAGATGCCAAGGGCTTGCACGTGCACATGTACATGTACATGTACATGTAGTAGGGCCTTGTGCGTATTCTATTTTATTCGTGAAAAATCGATGTATATGTACATGTATTCTATTCATGACTGAAGATTTTGACCTAGACATGCAATGTAGAGGTACTGATGTGGCTTATTTACAATTTACATGGATTTGTATAAAGCTTTGTGAATGTCATTTAAAAGAAAAATTATTTACATGTACCAGTACGTGTATCATAGGCAATTTTCATACTACAGTGTAATATGTGTAGTATAAATTTGTTATAAAACAGTTACATACAGTTATGTACATGTACCAGCTCACTGTATTCATGTTGTATTTAAATCTGGATTTTAAATTCTGAATAGTTCGAAGTTTATAGATTTATGAAATTACAAATTTTACTCTTTTCTTTCCTATTTCCTTCTCCCTCTCTCTCTCTCTTTCTTTCTCTCTCTGCAGGTAAACAATGAATGGGTGCCCGTTTTCTCCAGCGTTTGAAGATAAGGAAAATCCAGTCACTCCTAAGGCGTTTAGGAGCCCTTCCAGCTTACCCCACTCGATCCTGAAACCATTGAACATCATCAATATTGTTACCCCTCTGCCTGTCTGCAAGAGTTTGAAGGTAAAACTAACCCCTTCCCCCCTCCCCCTCCAGCCAATCAGATTCATGAATTCTATTTGCAGCATTAGCAATTAAAGTTTTATTCAAGTCCCAATTTGTATCTTGTATAATCACAACACTTTCCACTACTCCCAAAAGATTTACCACTGCCTTAAAATGCAATACATGTATTGCACACTAAAGCATCTTCAGCTTGAAGCATTATACCTCATGTACTGTACATCCATTGTCTAATGACCTTTGACCTTTATCATATATCAACAGACTGAACAGTGAAACAAACTTTCAAATGTTACTGCACATCATTCATCGTGCAGACATTTATAACGATCATATTCTTTAGTGTAGATCAAGGGCAAGCTGTTTATATGATCTAGGGTGTCTATTCATCCCCTAAACATATTAACCATGAAGAGGTGTGCCTTCTTCATCTCTCCTTCTTTTCCTAATTGAAAGTTTTTATCTTATTAGCATTCAGCCTAGAGAACATTGTTTGCAAACAGAATTTTTCCATCCGGGATGGGCGACACGACCTCTCACATGAGTGACTTTTCATCCGACGGAAGTTTGTCCCCATCACCCCAGTTCTACTCGCGGAGCTACAACCAGGCTGTGCAGAGCCTACCCTACACCACCGAAGTCAATATCAATTTCAATCATTTGAGCAGCTCCATGCAGACTAGGGATAGCATAGCACGAAGGCCTCCCCAGAGATCAAATTCCATGCCAGTCACTCGCTCGGAGAGTCAGAGACCGCGCGTGCAGAGCAGACACAACAAAGACAGGGGGTCTGTGATGAATGCGCCATCCCCAAAGGGCAGCCCTGCTAGCACTACTAGGACTCTAGGTGATCGCAAGAGAGTCGAGAACTCTCGCAAGTCGGCAACGAGGGAACGCAAACGAGGAGCCGGTAACGGTGGTGGTGGATCACGTCGTACCTGCAGATTGATGAGCGCTAATGCTGATTTGGATATGGGTAGCGCACATTCTGATAGTTATGGGGTGGGGGACAGCGGTAGTAATGCCAGTTCTGTAGTGGCACCTGCTTGTGGGGATGTGTACCTTCCCTTGGATGCGCAGCCCGAGATCGAGCCGTGCTCTCTACCGGACGTGATCGACCCTGCAGACATTGGCACTGTGATGGAGATGGATCCTGGAGTCTCTGATGATGAACTCATGGCACGACTGAGGCAGCGTGATGTCAAGAAGGTCCTAGAAGCCCTAGGTGTACCCGACGACTCCATAGCGGATGATTACAAGGATCTGTCCTCTGGTAGCGATTCTCTCTTCACAGATGCAGAGCTCAGCCAACTGGACAACGACAACGAGCTGAGGTCTCTGGAGGAAGAACTCGGCAGTGAATTTGATAATGAAGCATTGCTTCCTGATGATACCCGCCCGCAGAATCCTGGGGGCACCCGCATGGTGAATGGCATTGGCCAGAGCTATCCTGGGGACTCCCCAGAACTATCACAGGAATCGAAGAGGTTACCCAGTCAGAGCTCCAGTGACTCTGCTCTAGGTGTGGCCTTTGACAACGCGGCCAGCTCACCACCACAAGACCTAGACTCCCCGTTGGCGCAGGTAGTGTTGTGTTTGCATGGGATTTGCAGTGTTGATTCACTGAGCATGTTGTTTATAAGGAGTTGACTGAAGATTGTCTGAAGCACGCATGGGTACCTGATCGACTCCTCTCATTTCACCACCGAGCCTTCCCCGATTCACGAAGACTTAACGATCCCGTTGCCTCCCGCAGTCGAGCATGATTCCTAACGACCATGAAGAGAAGTTCTGTAGACTAGATTTCCAATGCTTGGTATTCAGATTTTGTTACAATTTTGTTCAATTCACCATGAAGTTTGTCCTTATGAACATTTGATTTTGTTATGTATCGTCTCTAGAGTACAGCTTAACATTTTGAAATGGTTTTGAGTATTAACACTGGAGTCTTTTTCATTATTAACAATAGTAAGCATACATTTTACGTGTACATGTACATGTAGCACTAATTTGATAGTAGTTAGTGAAAGACTTTAAGATAGAATTGAGTTTTGGTCATGATATTACATCCATTGTATAGATGCAATTTATAGGAAAGGTTAAGTCTGTAATAAATACAAATGTGTACACTGTGAGGGTTTTTGAATCACTAAAATGGGAGGAAAGGAACTCTGACAGTCTTGCTGGAAGTCAGATTGAACACATCACACAAAAATGGGTATATGGGACAACACACAATCCTGTGGCATGAAAGTTTGGTTCATACTTGTCTTCTGTTCCTGGTCATAATTCAAACATGAGGGCATTTTAAGGTAATTCTTTTTTCTCAGGTCATTTAAACTATGATGCCCTTCCAAATTGATATAGAAAGAATAAGAAAAGCTCACAATTATTATTTATTTACCAGGGGGGTGTTTCATATAGCTGTACGTAAATTTACGCATGACTTTACGAACAACTTGTATATGAAAAGCCAAATGGGATGCTTAATCATTATTGATTATTATTTATTAAGTTGAACTGTGCAGATGTAGATTAACATTCCTATTATAACACCCATTTTTAATGCAAAGTTTAATTTTTGCCATAATTTAATTGAGTTTATTGGAAATATCGGAAAAAACTTTGGGCATCCTATCTGGCACTCCATACAAGTCATCCGTAACGTCATGCGTAACTTTACGAACTTTTTATGAAACACCCCCCAGAACTCTACCTTCTCCTTAAATAGCAATCAAGAGGTACATGTATGGAATTATCGTACTCTAATAAAACATTTCCTGTCTCATGAAATGGAATATAAAAAGAATATTCCTTTTAAAAAAGAAGGGGAAAGAGATTGACATGGTTACACACATGTCCATGTAAACCTTGAACATTATTCTTCCCTCTCCTTCTTACCTGCCCCAGTTGTTCATGAAAAAAATTTATTGTGACTCAAAATCTTAGGACATGGATATGATATTGGAAACATAATCTGTTAATTGCAAGATAACTTGAAGTCAGTCAACACCCTAAATTTTATTTTTAGACAAAACCAATGTCTTAGTGGTTTGTAGATCCTAACTTTGAATTAACCGTGGAAGGCGTACCATTTATGTCTTTTGTTGCTGAACATGAATAAGCCAAACTGTGCAGTTCCTTAGCCACGTTTTAGGATAACAGGAGTAGTAGAGGAGAGGATGTTTGCAGAGCGAAATGTTTTCATGCTTTTCAACTTGTTTTAAAACCAAACAACATTAAACCAACAACCAGAGGAAGAATAGCAGATTCAAACTGTTTTAATATTCTGCAAGTTTTAAAATCGAACAAACGGACCATAACCTGCTTGTCTCTTCGGAATCGTACTCAGATTTACAACTCGTTAGAGTTCTGCCCGTGTAACATGGGTGGTTGCTTATCCAACGATTTTCCGTCTGACGAAACTCGTTCTCCAGAAGGGGTAAGCAGAGCAGACCTTCTTCTACACTGCTTGCATGTTCATCTTTTATTTTCTTTTGATTATCAACCAATATTGATTATAATTTTGCGCATCTAAGCAGTAGAAGAGCTGTATGCAGCAGCAAAGTTGGATCCAAAAAAGTTGCCTTTCTTTTAATACTACATGTACCAAGCAGTTGTAAATCTCAATTGATTACATGGACAGAGCTTTTACTTGGTCTCTTTGATGCAATTATTTTTATGTGACCCGCTATTGTTCTTGATATTGAAATTGGTTAGCTGTCAAAAATATTCTGGTTAAACGATGGTCTAAACTTGTTATGGGAATACTTATCTTTATATGTCCATATCAAAAACTCATAAAATCACAGCTAATATATTCAAAATATGCCTGTCGGTTTAGATTGCGTACCATCACCTAATTGATAGGTCCTTTATTTGGGTGCTTGATGATATTCCTGCTGATTCGACTAAGGTACATGTACATCATGAGATATTTTTGACGTATTATTTCAATGTATAGACTCAAGCTAGCTCACGTCTTATCTTCACGTTAACAGGCAGTTAAATTTGCATATCATTTGCCTTTTCAAGCAATGCAATTATGCATTCATATTGCAATTAGCAAGGCTACACTTATTTTGTAGTTAGAATCATTTCATGAAATGGGACGTACATTTGTAAATACATGTATCAGTACTATTGTAGTGTATGCTTACCGGTAATAGTTGCATACATTTGCATTCAACAAATTTGTTAAAGTTTGATGGGGAAAAAAAGAGTTCAATTGCCCATCATTAACTATAAAGATGGGGTGGACTATTTTCTCAATATTATGTAATGATATATTTTCAAGAAAATTTGATGGTACTAAAATGTAGCCATGATTTCAATTTCAGTTCTTTCCAGAAATGTCCCTATTCTGCCTATAGAGCAAGTATTTAAATATGTATGTGTGCATGTACACTGCACTCCTATAATACTGGTGCTCTGTCATGTGTGGTAGGTACTAAGCTGTGTTTATTATCGAAGCCATCCAATTAAGCAGAAGACGGAGCTTGCCTGAGGCACCTACCGAGGTGGCTTTGGCACAATGTCAGGGAGGGCATGGCATGGTCTATGGCGGTTGTATAAACACATGATAAGCAGAATGTCACAGACATTTCTCATGTGGTATAATATGATGACTTTGTCCGTTTGGAGCCAGAAGGGCGTTAACTCATATACTTTAACACAGAGTTAACGCCCTTTTGGTTCCAAACAGACGATTTGCCATATGATCGGTCTTCCACGGCTGATGTCTGTAGATGCCTGGCCAGGTGAAGAGAATGAGGGAATTAAAAAAAGAAGGATTTTGCAAAACGAAGGGTTATAATCACTGCAGTCGCAAGCAATGATTGGATGATACATGTACAATGTACAATGTATATTTTGTAAAGATTGAGTACTAATACGGTTTGTCACTATGTATAATAACATTACCATGCATGTACAAACCACTTATTAGCAGCTTATGCACAAACAACTTGAAAGGAACAAAAATATATATACTCAGATGTGTGTAATTTGTATATCAATATGAAATTATCACTTTGTATGGAATATTTAGGAGTTTCAAGTATGAAAATGAAGGGTTACTGTAAAGAAAAATATATATATTTTTTTTAAAGGGCATATTTTCTTAAATTATATGAAAATAGTTATGATTTTGTCATGTTTCAAGTGAAGAAAAATATTCCATTGAAAATCTTATAATATACTATTAGAAATCACATGTTTTGAGAGGAGGAGGTTGTTCGATAATTTCAAACTTGTAAATTTCTTCTTATTTCATTTTCAGGAAAACGCCTCAGTTTGATATCAATTTCTAATATAATGTTTGATAGAAATGGAATGCTCATACATGTAGTTTATATTATTCATACTAATTTTTGTATTATTTAACATATTTGATCTGAATTCACACATTTCATGTTTAAAAAAAATAAACAATGCATACTTTGATTTACTTTCATGTTTGATTTATCCCAACTGCATTTATTTTTATTTCTAGTCTAGTTAACTTTAACAGCATATTATCCTATCATTGTTTTTTTTAACAATAGGATGTCTAACTCTTGTATATAAATGTATATTTATTTAAATGTTGAACTCATGCCAATGAAAATAACTGCTCTGTGACTTTTCTTCCACTTTGATATTCCTGCTGAAATGATGAACTAAATTAATTGCAAAATAAATAAAAAGAACCTTTGAAGAAACATATATGCTTTTACTTTAGAGCAGACACGATAATATTAAATCCTTAATGAAAATATTTGTTTTGTTATATGTTCAACATATTTAGAGTTTGTAAACTTGTAAAGCTTATGTTTATGTAGTTAGACCTTAGGTATTTCTCAAAAGGCTCAAAGCATAAGCACTTACCATGTGTTATAAAAGATACATAAATATAAAGATGCGTTTTGATATTACTGCAGCATTAAAAAAAAGCAATTTACCCATACAGTATATCATTTGCAATTGTGAAGGAGGTTTTAGAGAGAGAGCAGAGACTATTGCTTTGTTGCATAAATGCATACACACAGACACGAGCAAAACATGAAGAAAAACAAAAACGATAAAAGAACAAAAGCATGCACCATCATGCATCCTATTCCCAGGCTTCCAGCATCGTATTTTAATAAATAGTAAATTTATTTTGGTTGAATCTCTGCAGGTATCCTTCAAGACTCCAGCGCAACTAAGCCAGGCCCCTCACAGCAACTCCCCGTACGGTGCCGTCCGAGATTTGGACGAGCAAGAACGCTGGTCCGAGAGGGCCACCGTAGTTACCAAGCCGGACCATGAGGATTACATGATCATTGCTTCTGAGATCCTCAACAATATCATCCTTAATCTTCCCGTCGGGTAAGAAGGATATTTCCCTGTTTTTATTGTATTTTATTGTATTTTATTGTATGTACAGTCAAACCTTCTTTAGTGACCACCTGTCTACAAACTCCACTTTTTTTTTTCCTTTGAAAAAAAATTCTCAGCGAAACATGTACTAAAGGAACCTGTCTACAAGTCAAACCTTCTTTAGTGACCACCTGTCTACAAACTCCACTTTTTTTTTTCCTTTGAAAAAAAATTCTCAGCGAAACATGTACTAAAGGAACCTGTCTACAACGGCCACCTGTATTCAAAGACCATTTTTTGTGTTTCCCTTGGGCTAAGACACGCTAAAGACAGGTTTGACTGTATTTGTTTTTCAATACTAGTGGATCAGCTGATGGAATCAAGCCAAATCTCAAGAAGTGCAAAATATGCTTCCTGTTTTATTTGTCAATGACTTTAATAATTTATACCTTCCAGGGAGAGAACAAAATATAACTTAGCTTGTGAAGGCTTATATTTAAGTCAGTGTATCAAGTTCCAAGATATTTTTAATACATTTTAACCCATTAAGAATTTGCTTCACAAAAAGGGCATTACCTTCAGCCCAATTTTTTCCCCTTGATGTTTTTTTATGAAAGATTTATGTGATTTTAGGAGCAATGTAAAATCTAGATCATATTGAGAAGTAGTGAATTATCTGATCAATTTTTGTATTCAAGCGATGATTTATTTCCCCCACAAAATATGTGGACAAGATCAATGTATAAAGTGGTCAAACTCACCCATGTAAACGGTCAGTATGTTGTCCTTGTTGTCCTTGTTGTCCATGCTAGAAATTGGGATCCCCTTTTTTACCACTTTGGAATGTCAGGGACAAAATGGAGCTATTGGGTCCTGATTCTTAGTACATGTAGCTGTATTAAAGAGACATTGTTCAATAGCTCTCTGTAGAGAAACACAATGAGTATAAATGATAGGATTAGCCAACAAAGATTTGGCATTCCTGTAATGAACTACAATGTATAGTAACTCAAAGCCAGTACCCTTTTAAGAATTGAAAGTAATTGGTAGGAAACCAATTTCCAAAAGAGGATTTCTACACTGAAGTCCAGCCGCCCTTTATTTTAGCATGACTATACACCCTCACACGTAAAGACAGTGTGGAAAAAGTGATTCAGGCATCTGACATTGAATAACAATGTTGTGGGTGCACTTCCTGGCCCTGATCCTCGAAAACGCATTTCATTTACAGTTGTCTCTTCTCATCTTGGGGTATGGGCTCCTGAAGAAAATCTCGGCAATGTGGCCAAAGCCTGGGTAACGATGCTACAAGCTTTTAAATCGAGTGGCAAAAATTGTTAAACCTGCTTTAGATTCATATTGTTTGTGAAGCCCATCTCTCGATAAAGATTGCATTGAGTTTAACCTATGTAACAAGACAGGTCAGGTGGTCTTTCTGTACAGGTTCATGTAGTAGACATTTCTGCGGACACAACATATATGGGCTTTCTAGACAGGTGGTCGCTGAAGCAGGTTCCACCGTATGATATATTCCTTCTAGCAATTTGTCGGCTGATAGCAAAAAGGACATCAAAGCTATATATGGTCAAAGGCATTAACGTCCTTCTTGTGGGTAGCCAATATATTCACCTGACTACAGATCACAAGGTATGGGGTTCAAATCCCGATGTGGCGCTAATGTCTTTTGGCAAGACGTTAATCTACATTTGCCACTCTCCACCCAGGTGTAAATGGGTACCTGATATGCTTGAGCGCTAGCCCATATTATTATTATTATATTTTTTAATTTTTTTTGTTTAATGATCTGTGCACATGGACTAATTTTTTTTTTATACATATTCAACTCTCAGCGAAGTCGCCACTGCTCCTGATTCCGTTACCCCCGTTGTTCCAGCTCCTGAGGCCGAGGCCAACCTGCAGGTCCAAGACTCTGCACCCAGCAGCCCCCCAAACCAGTCACCTCCTAGGGAGGGTAACGCAGACGCGCCCCCTTCAGAGGGCGGGGCCACCATGGAGGACAGTGTCAGCACCCCTCCTCCTCCATCTCCGGAGCCAGCTCGTCAAAACATCTACGAGCTCAACGATGAGGACATTGCTAATATGAACCCGTTCCAGAGTAAGTGTGTTCGTGATCTTCGACAGACCATTTTGGTACCTAGGCCCGATAATTACCTGATTAAAATCGGTTTCCCAACTTTTTATTTTTTTCCTGATTTTTACCAATTTTTTTTTTTTTTTTAACCAATTCCCCCCCCCCCCCCCCCCGATTTTTCCAGATTTTCCCCCAATTTTCTTACTCAAAAGAGGGGAATGTTGTTAGATGCCATTTTCCCCCCTGAATCCTTTTTTTTTTGTACTCGAGGGGGGATGGTTGAGGGAAACCCCCCCCCCCCCTTTTTTGTTTGTTTAGTGCTCACCATCACCCCTGGATACCTCAATCTCACTGCCAAGCCAATCCCAAACCGACTCAGGGCCGACCAATATTGGACATGCAATCTGATAGAATTGTTTGTTTGGTCTCTTGTCGGTCTTGACGGTGAGATTGTGGTATCATGCAGTTGATGCCTTGAAGAGGTGTACGAGTCCAATGGATAAGTCTCAGGACTGTGAATCCGCATCGCAGCGCTTATGTCCTTTTGCAAGGCATTAATCTACAGTTGCCATTCCCCACCCCAGTGAGCTGAATGGGTACTTCATTCCTTAAAATGCTCGAGAGCCATAGTGGCAGACGTGCTAAAGTCGGGATAATAATTGTGAAGCACCAGGAGTATCAACTTTGACAGACTTGAGCGCTATACAAGAATCCACTATTATTATTATTATTATTATTATATTGGTTAAGTCTGTACCAGGCTTTTACAGGTTTCTGACAATGTACACTACCGTGAAAAAAGACTAAATTGATAGAAATCATTACTTTATCTAATTCCCCTTGCAGTCAAAGAACTGCATTGTACTCGGTAAATCAAGCTGACTAGACTTTGCAATACAATTTATTTCAATTAAACAGTTATAAGCGTCATTGAAAAGATTGGAGGTGAATAAGATATGATGACTAGCCACCCCCTCCCCCTCCCTCCCCCTCCCCATTCCCCTTCCTCCATTTTGATTAAACTGAATGATCTGAATGTCTCGTTACACCATCTTCACCAAGGATCTAGAGCTTTTTTTGAGCAAAAAATAACCAAAGGTGAGCAGTTCTCATTAACCTTATAAATGCAAATTTATATTTGTTCAAATTAACTTTTCTAGCTGTACGTGTAGATTAATCGTACCCTCTCGATATTTCACTAAATTACCCGTACCCAAGTCACACCAGCTGGGGCCTGTTTCATAAAACTTGATATCAATAACAAGTTACAAGCTACTGTTATAAGCTACTGAAATCATGGCATCTGATTGGCTGAGAGCAAATTTGTCATAAAAATTTAGCAGTTGTTATAGATAAAAAGTTTTATGAAACGGGCCCCAGACCGACAATTGACAAAAAAAAAATATGTTACAAAAAAAAGCAAGGATATTGTCGGTTTGGAGTCAATTTTGCAGTTTGACAAGGGCATTCTTATTAAATGAAGGCTGCAACTTATGGATATAATAAAGAGGATGGTTAGTATGGCTGATGAAAATAAAGATTGCATTTTTTTTTTTAGTGGTGCATGTGGAGCAAGATGAACTTCTTTTTTTGCAGGATAAGATGGGACATGGTTATTCCCATACAAATACATAACTGAAATTATGGTTGTTGTTGTTGTTGGGAAAGAGATGGCATGTAGGTAAATCTCAATGTAAAAACATGAAAAGTTACAAATGAATTTGATATTAAACCTGAGAACATTTTCCATTGAAAGGGTGTTATATGTGAAAAGTTAAATATGAAATTTATGTGTCAGTAGATGCAGTAAAAAAATAAAAATGAAACCACAGAAATTAAAGACATTTAAGGACGTTGTTGCCCTGGGCTACCGCTGCAAATTCTGCCCTTCCCTCTAAAAATGGAATTGTACATGCCCAAACACATAATAATGAGAAATCAAATAAAATCTGCTTTTCTTTTTCAAATTGCTTGCCAGTAAATTTGGTGTTGAGGAAGGTGCTGTTATAAAACATTTGTTATAAAATGATTTTTTTTTATTGCAATGCTGATCATGATATATTGTGCCTGCATAAATGAATCTTTCAGTTCATCACATTTATCTAATAAAGAACTTTTGATTGATATATGGTTTAAGATTAAGAATTAAATTATGCATTAAGAATACTTCTGATTAATCATGAAGGCCCTGAATCTACTTTGTGAGCTTCATATTTGACTGTGATTTAATTAAAAGAATAATTTCCCTGTTAAGTCCAATAGCAATTCATAACTATCACAAAATTATTGTAACCCTGTTGACTAATTAGTAATACTTGTACGTGAAAGTATTTTGAGTATCTTGAAACAGTGAAATCTGAATATGTAAGATGTTGTGTAATATGCACGTTTGTCTCATTGATGTGTATTAGTAATAACAGACATGTAGGATGTTCTTGTGGTTGCTATGTTTTGTTAGTTTTATTTAAACAAAAACCTTGACAGAAAAAAATAACATTTTTAAAACATACATCTCGTTTTATTAACTTTACCAAGAGTAGAAACCTGCACAACCTATTTACCAAGAGTATTGAACATGATGTACAACCACACGCTAAACTGTTGAAGCTAACTTGCCAATCTTTTCTACCGGTTCCATCCGGTTCTATCTTGTAGGTACCACCAAGATGCAGAACTCTCCGCCTATTACCAAGAAACCCATGGCAGACAACCAGTACTCTGCAGACATTGACTTTGATAACATCAAGGATCCCTTTGGTACCTGCAGCAAAGTGGCCAATACACCCGAGACCATCAACCGGTAATAGTCCCCCTTCAATCTAGTGATATGGATACCGTAATTAACGTTGTATTAACCGCACTTTTTTGCTGCCGAAAAAAAAACAAACTCAAAGTCGGGGGTGCGTCTTATACACGGTACACACACAAAAAAAAATTAATTTGTTTTTTAAAGTTTCGATTTATACCCCTCCACCTGGTGCTATGCCTGGCAGTGTCTCCCAGCTCAGTAATCTGTGTGTTGACTCACCACTCGGAAACTAGAACAACACTCCAATTTGTCTGTCATCTAGGACTGACCTTCAACATCACCATCCAAAAAACTTGACTCATTTTCGAATCTGGGTCCGATGAGAGACGGTTTGTAGGCAAAGACAGAGAGCTGACCGTACCACAGACATTACAGCTAGACCGACTTCACATTTCTATGGTGCCATTATAAATGTATTATATTGAATCTAACCAAGCATAAATTCAATAAAGTAATGTTGACATATCACCATTAACAGGTCTCCAAAGCAGAAGAAGAGGTCTCCCAAGACCAAATCCCCGACCCCAGAACCCGAAAAGGACCTTGTGCCTCCTGCCAACAATGATAACGACGTTGCTGTCGATGTTGATGTCGAGAAAGAGGTGAATGAAGAGGAGCACAGCCCCCCATCCCCGGAGGACGTCATGCTCCAGTCCCCTCAGATGAACGGTGGGGATGATCTCGGGAACGATCTCGACAAAGAGGAGGATAACAATGTGCAGCTGCTGTCGACGGGAGATGGTGACAGCGGGGTCGCGAGTGCAGAGGAAAGACAGCCTGATGAGGTCATGCCTTCATTTGATGCTCAAGGTATAATCATGACTTTGTTTTTGATCCGAGACTTTGCCCCCAAATTCAAACACTGGACCACTAAAAATTTTAAGTTATACTTGGGACCCCTAAAATTCCTAAAAAAAAATTTCAGACCTCCTGTGAATAAAATGCTTGTGGAGCTACGTTTATAATATTCAAGCTGATTTTCTTTCTAAACTTGATACCAATTCACATGTATTTGTAAATTATGCTTGGCTTGCAATCGTACTCATTTCCTTATTGAATGAGCTGTCATGAAAAGGGTAAACAAAAGTTGTTCGCTTGTTGGTTGGTTTTTTAGTAATTTTAGTTTGTACAAGGTGAAATTGACCAAACAGAATGTTAGGTGTACTTCAGACAGCCCTCAAAATAGGGATGATTATTAATCCCATTGAAATCATGGAGACGTCGGGGCAGCGTTTCATGAAACCGTCCTAAGTACAAGTTCACCCACATCCCGTCGAAACGTGTGTTAAACTTAATACACACATTTCAATGGGATGTCGGTGAACTTGTACTTGTATTTCATGAGACGCTGCCCTTATTCACTGAGTTGCGAATCATTCTTACCATATCATTGCAAAATGGGAGGGTGTGACATCATTAATCATTACAAAAACCCATTGAAGACTCCTAACATTGACTAATACTCAGTACAAATTTGCTTGTTGTCTTTGACAGATGAAATTCCAGATATGATTGGTGATGATGAATTCAGACCAGCTATGGAAGGTAATATATTCATTCTTATCATAATAATAATAATGGTCGCTTCTTATGAAGCATCTAGGTCTGTCAAGCGTAACGCTTGCTGCGCTTACCGGTATACAAAATAAACAAGAGTACAATAATTCTAACTTCACCTTCGACAAGTTTATATGTGATTTTACAAACAATCACATTTCTAATCATTGCCTTATCTCTCTCCTTTAGAAGGTGTAGATCTGCATCCCAACATAAAATTTAAATTAACACGAACTGATGATCGCTATTGTATGTCTGAATGCATACTTTGGAATCAATAATAGGGATTAAAAACCAAGAAGTTTGTCATAACTTCATTTTACAAACCATGAATCATTATATATATCCTGGTGTTTGGAGCATGATATTTGATTTGTTATACATTATGATGGAGATTTGGTGGGGTATTACTTTTCACACATAAAGAAATATACATATTTATCTCCATCCCAATCATTATTTAATTCTGAATTCATGTATATGTATCTCTTAGGGATACCCGTTGTATTTAAAGTGTCTCATGAAAGGCCAATGCACCTCACCTTTCTAAAAGCATGAATGTTGACTAAAAAGGTGATTTACCAAGCGCGGGATCTTACTTTAGTCATTCATCCACAAAATCAACAAAAGGAAATACATCTATTTTTACTAATCTGCCATGTTCATTTCTTTTCAATCCACCTTTCTTTTTTTCATGCACGTCACTCGTCCTAACTCCCATTTCATTGCATGTATTAAACAACTCTTGCTATTTTCTTTGTTGACCAAATTGATTAACATGTCTGGAATTATTTTTGAATGTGTGTGGAATTATTCTGCCTCTTCTTACCTGATACAACTCCTCAACTTTGTTAAAAATCCATGTCTGGTATTCATTCTACCTTAATCGTCCCTCCCCCTCCCACCTCCCCCCCCCCCCATTTCCTTTTCTGCTGTCTGTTGTGTTTCAAACACCTAATGTCAACACAACAAATGTTGCTTCTTTCTCCCTGTTCCTTGCGTGTAACGTCTTTCCCATTCTATGTCTGTCATCTGCGGGTATGATCTGTCATGTTCTCCTCCATTACTTGATCTCGCTCTTCTACCTCCATCTTATATCATTATCATACAAACTTTGTTGATAATTGTGTCCATACTTTAATTGTGCTCCTTCTTTATTTCCTCCTACACGTCTGTTCATGAAAAATAATTGTTTTGCATTAAATGTGCCCGTGTACTCATCTCTATAATTCCCTTTCAAAAATCATTATCTCCTTTCAATCATTCATTCATTCATTCATTCATTCATTCATTCATTACTTCCTGCATTTATTCATTCATTCATTCATTCCTCCCTCCATTTATTCATTCAATCATTCATTCGTTCATCTGTTCATTCGTTCATTCATTCCTTCCTCCATTCCTTCATTCAATCGTTCATTCATCTGTTCATTCATTCCTTTCTTCCTCCATTTATTCATTTATCTGTTCATTCAATCATTCATTCATTCCTCAATTCAATCATTCATTCTTCAATTCAATCATTGATCCATCCATTCATTCATTCATCTGTTCATTCCTTCCTCCATTCAATCATTCGTTAATATAATCAATCATTTATACGTATTAACACAATCCACATTGATGCCCGTCCCTCCCAAACTTCATCACCAACTCATCTCCCGAATCAACGTCTTCCATCCCATTGGACTAACACACACACACTATGACCTTTGACCCCAAATACCTCCTGCTGAATAGCCTCTGAAGAAGGAGGAGGAGTAGGAGGAGGAGGGGGCGGTCATGGGGGACTCACTCGAGACATAAGCTTTGAAGAGATGGAGTTCAGGTTGGCAGAAGAAGGTATGAGAAAGATAGATGCCAGCAATGTTTTAAAATGCACCCAAATGGCAGAAGTAATATTGTCAATTTGCTGTTTTGTGCCGATGTCTGCACGAAAATCCATGGCATGCGCTTCCCTTGACGTTTATATTTTGTCAAATGCACTTTTAATCTGTAGGATTCCAATAATTGTTGTTGTAATGCAGTAGATGGGGTATACAGTCGACTTAATAATTAAGTCGACTGTAGTATCACTGAGTGTGTGTGTGTGTGTTTGAGTGTGTGTGTGTCATGGAGGTATTAACGCTGATTATATTTTAAAGCACAAAACTGAAGAGCAGTTAGAAGGATATTAACTCACTTGGGATATGTGTTGGAATATTTTCAAAGGTTTGAAGTTTCTAAATAAACAGTGCATTTACATGTACTTAAAATATGTGGTTACACATACATGTACACATATGTTAAGATTAATGACCCTATTAAAGGCTATAGATCATTAAAGAGAAGGTTGAGTTCTGGGAAGAGGTGAAAAACAATTTGTGAGCGTATTGTATTATGCAAGTGTGGAAGAACATCAGATAAACAAATGTTCCCTGAAAAGCATGGCTCTTCAAATGCCTTAAAGGTAAAGACCAGTATTGGAAACGCCAATTTCCAAAAATGAAATGGAAGCTCTTATTACCAATCATGTGAAAGAATATGTTTTGACTAATACATGATGATAACAATTTTGCCGGGAAACCGCCTACTAATTGATATATTTGGTAAATTAGTTTATCTACATGGTCTGTGAGAGGTAAACGCATGTGTAGCGCACGTGTGTGTATAGTCCCATATACATCTTTCTGTGTACAGTGCTTGTAACTTTACGAAGACTGGGCCAAATTTCTTATCATTTTGATGATTCCAGAACCTTGCAGTACACACCAATACTTATATGCTAGATGATCAACCTTTTCTGATCAATTCCACACCGTTTCTTTCACAATGCAATCGCTTGACCAGAACTCAACTTTATCTTTAAATCAACCATTCTGTGCTTCCCATGTACAGAGAGGAAGGGGGCTTAGTCTTTCATGAGTGTTTGGCCCTGACTGTTACGTGATGTGTATCCAAAGAGGGGATGGTATTTCCTCTGTGTTTGTTGTCCTGCACTTGCATGCTGTGATATACATGTATATGTGTGTCACATGTGGATTAGTCTTAATTGATAATGGGGGAGGGAGGAGAGAGAGAAGAGGGAGGGAGAGAGAGAGAGAGAGAGAGAGAGAGAGAGAGAGAGAGAGAGAGAGGGGGGGGGGGGGGGGGGAGAAGAGATGGAGGGAGAGAGAAAGATCAGAGTGTGGAAGGGGTGGGGAAAGAGGGAGAGAGAGGGAGATGGAGAGGAGAAAAAAGGAGAGGAAGAGAAGAGGAAGATAGAAAGAAAGAGAGGAGGGGGAGGGGAATAATTGGATGGACGAGAAAGGAGATTTACATTTGAACTTAACACAGCTAAAGATGTGATGTGACATTTTTTTGAAGGATAAAAGTTCTGTGCAAATCTTTCTTAAGTTGAGTTTTTACTATCAATCAGATTAAATCGAAATCATGAACCTTATTTAATCCCAAGTTTCTAATAAATGTTTGCTTAGCATGAGCATGAGCATGACTCATTTGATTTTCTATATCTTTTTTTTTTTTTTTTTTTTTTTTTTTTTTTTTTTTTTTTTTTTTTCTTCTTTTTTTATTGTTATTTTTGAAAAATTAACAGAGTAAAAGCAGCAATATAAAATATAATATCATCTTAAAACTACAAAACAGGCACGCACTCATGCACCCATAAACATACACACACACACACTCACATACTTATTGAAATTGTCTTTCAGTCAGTAGAGCAAGACCTAGGAATTAATATTTACATTAGTCATGTACTTTAATCAAAGAGATAAGTATGCACGAATGTGATTATCTATGTCCACTTTTAGTCAAACAGGTTGAAAATTATTTGCAATATGAGTTGTACAGAAAAATCCTTTCTACTTTTTCAGTCTATTGTAAATAATAAAGTATGAATACTATTATGATCATCTCAGCGTGATTTTTATTGTATCACCTGTATAGAGCTGTGTAAAATGGTACGAGTTAACACCCATTTCGGCCGGTTACAAACAAACATAAGATGCATGACAAATATTTCTATGTTGCTTTTATATTTCAAATATTATTTCCATCCATGGTTATGCCTCATAGCTGTTAACCACGGATATGGCAGATTCTTAGATATTCCAAACCCACAAACGCGAGCAGCTCTTGCACGTAAAGGTATTGCATGAAAACTGCGGTAATGGTTGGTTGGTTGGTTGGTACGTTGGTACAGTGGTGATATTCAGTCGTAGCTGCATGTATTATTCATATTTAGTCGATATTCTAATGATAATGATTGTAACTTTTGTACATGATATTTGATGTCCATTGTTTATGTATTGTCTGAAAGTGTAACCTTAAGATTTCCCTCCTGAATACTACATGCTGTATACCCCACAGTTTTAACATAGTGTAATTCTTCCATAAATATATATTTATTGACAGACCCATTGAATAATATAATAATGTAGGCTTACATGTACATGTATATGCATATTCTGAGGAACAGTACTTCACAACAAAAATTTAGACTAAGGAACAGCACCTTGTATCCTCTGGAAAAGGCGCTATATAAATCCAAATATAAGAGAAAGGATTGCAGTTCTCGGCATTATGTTGATCATATTGATTGTAGAGTCTACAACTTTTTACGTTTGACTACTGGTAAATTCTAGGTTTGATATTCTTATGTCTGAACCATGTCATTAGCCCTTTACCATGAAGAAGGGTTTGTTTGCATAATTACTCATTATTCTGCACAATGATAGTGGGAATGCATGAGCTAATGTAGATATCAACAATAAATTTAGATTGTAAATCAAACAATAAGCTCAAGTACTGATAAGAGTTTTCTCTTTATATGATAATGCCATTTCAAATTTGACTGTATTTGTTATTTGAACCCTGATTACAATTGTTACATGTATGTTGACCATGGTGTAATTGTTACTTTAACCTTGGTTGTGATTGTTATTTCAACCTTGATTTGTACATTAAGTCAGTCATGGTATCTAAAGTTACATCTTCTGCAGTTTCCAATTAGCCACCAATTAGTCTCTGTACAGTGTTGCATTATAGTTTAATAATCTCTATGATAAATGACTAAACAAAATTGCCAGGAAATGTAAGATATCTACCAAATCACTGTTCTTTTTTTATCATTTGAGGGTAAATATGCCCATACCCATGACACACTTTATGTATGTACGTATGTTATCGTGATTTATAAACACAGTGATTCAATAACACATTATATCCCTTCTATATTGTGAGACCAGTACAGCTGCCAGAAATTTCCAAGGGCACATGGCTTAATTGATTGAATTACATGAACATGAACAAACACAGATGCAGTCCCACACACATATTTTGCAGACAGAGAGGGTTATTTAAAGGCACATGGTAACTTTGGGGGTTCTCGACCAAAAATGAATAAATAAATGAATGAAAAATCTAAAATAAATGATTAAAAAAAGAAAAATAGATATATTAATAAAATCAAGTTTAAATGATTAAAGATTGTGATTATTGTTGAAAAAAGCAAAATAACTTAGAAACTATCAAGTTAAAGTTTTATCTCAAAAGATTAGGAAATTAAACTTTGGGGAAATTATCGAATATCTAACCAAATGCACAGAAAAGAAATACGGAACACCAGATTACAGCTAAAGGATAAGCCTGCTTAAAACCCCATAAGTGCCTTTCCAATCAGTTTATCACGATTATGCCCATGATTGACTAATTTATGCTTATTCTTGAATCGAGTGAATCTACTTGCAACAAACTTAAAGACTCCATTATTCTTTTGGTTCAACTATCTTTCCCACTTTTTATTCAGCTCAAAGTATAAGACTGAGATAACCGCTCTGTACTAGCTTCTGTCCCTCATGAAATTGATATCATTTTACTTTCAGTTTCAGTATAACAGTGTGTTAGGTTAAATAAATGGGGAACTGTTGCAGTACCTGATAGTCTTGTATGGAAACCGTACATATATATGTTTTTATTGTCACCTTCACACTGATATACTACATGACCAAGTCCAAGTTGTTTGTGTGTAGACTTTACGCTTGCATGTTTTCCTCATCATTCCCACACAAAAACAGTATATAAATACCAGTGCCAGATAGTTGTGTGTGAAGACCTTTTTGTGCCTGTTTTTATCATCGACACTAACACGGTACATTACCAATGCCAGGTAGTCTTATTTTAAGACTCTCTACGTGTGTCTGGTGTCTACAATGTCATTCCCACTAACACAATCAACGCTAGATAGTCTGGTTTGCAGACCTTTCATGTGCACTCGACATCGACACCCCCACACTAACACAGTACACTACAAGAGCAGGTAGTCTGGTTTGCAGACTTTCCAGTTTCCATGTGTGTGTTTATACTGTTATCGTGACCCTAATACAATATATATTACATAACCATTCTTGTAATCAGGGAAGGAATTTCTATATATACATGTACATCTCTCTCTGCTATCGTGAAGTTATGTTTTATGACACCTAATCAATGAGCGGGTACTGCCTGCATATTTATTCTGTCTGCCAGTCAGTCATTCAAGTGCTATCCTCACATGTTTCAAAGTCCATCACATTATGTGTTTATAGCTTCATATTTCCTTGTTTCCTGCCATAATAAAACTGGAATAGAAAGAGATAGAGTATGGTATGGATGGAAGAGGAAGGCTAAAATTATAGTTTGTGTGAATCATGTAGACTGAAGGAATTTTAACGTGGGAAGCTTTCCAATCGGATCAAGGAATATCACGTGGACACAAATCAGGATCTAGTTTCAAGGAAATCTCATTTGGAATGTTTTGGATCTTATTTGGAACGTTTTGGAGCTAGTTTTTGCAAAATTTCATTTGGAATACCAGCAGACAACTGGATTCATTTATCATAATGTTGAAGTATTATTTCGCTGTCCTGTTTGATGTACTGGTGACAACTGCAGTATTCTGCAAGAAAGTTGTATGTTGGCTTTGTAAGTAAAAAAACAAACACAAAATTTGTATTGTTATTGGATGTTATTGGAGGGTGAGAAAAATGCCACCCATGCAGCTACATATCTTGTATGCTCACACATGTGCTAATACAGGCAACTGTATTAAAGTGCATTTGTATACAGGCCATACACTGTTCACCTTACTGTATTGTATATATAATACTATATATATTGATAGTTGTTGTTTTTGGCAATAGGTATTGTTATAAGAGCAATTATCTTTGTAAGGAATATATCGTCTTTCAAATTTGAAATGTATTTAAAGATTTGAATTTGATAATGGTTTGATTTATGCTTTTTCCTGATGTTACAAAGTATTACATGCTATTATAATCCAACTTAAGCTAAGCTGAAGGTGCTCAACCATGTTATTGTGACTTTAAAGTTGATGGTGAACCATAAAGAATTATTGAATGTGAATAAAGGTTGACTAATCCCACATGCAAATATAGTCTTCAGGAGACTTACTGACTTTCATACTGTCCTTATAAACTTGATTCAGCTGTAATTAAACCCAACAAAAAAGTTTGGAAACTCAAGTATGATCATTAATATCTCCCTTGTCATGGCATAACCATTGCTATGTTTAGGATCATTAGAAAGTGGATTTATTCCTTTTTAAAATGATACCTTTTTAAAATGATACCTCATTGTTATGATTGTTCAGTCATGGAATGTGCAGTAGATCAAAAAGGTCAAATGTAAAAAAGGCTCTTGTTCGACTGTGCAATCGAATTGCCCTATTGCGTGGTCCTTTTCAACAGTCGTTAACCTGAAGCATGATGCATCAGATAGTTGATGATCAAACAGCAGCAAATATTGCGTGACATGTCACCATAGTGCATGAATTTCAGATTTAGATTCTTTAGAATTTGGCATTCATGGATGACCAGTTGGGAATAATAGCCCCACTGTCATTTACAAAAACCACACTCTATTATTTCAAAGAAAGAAGAGTGCGCTGCATAACAATACGAGTTTTAACAGTTCATTTTGCTTTTTTCACTTTTGACCCTTCCCCTTATTCAGATGTACTGCTCGCTCCATGGCTGCTAAATCATAACAAATATGTTTCATTTTAAAGAAGAAGAATAAACTCGCTTTCTAATGACAATAATCAAAGCGATGATTATACAGCATGTACCATGATAAAGGAGCTATAATAGATCCAACCTGTGTTTCCAAACTTTTTTTGAGGGGTTAGTTTCAAATGGTGTGTATTAATCAACTTTGGACTTGTAGAACAAATTTAAAGGTTAATCCCACTGATGTCAAAGGCGAAAAACTCACTTAAAGATGAAGTTGAGTTCTGGTCATGCGATTGCATTGTGAAAGAAACGGTGTGGAATCGACCAGAAAAGGTTGATCATCTAGCATATAAGAATTTGTGTGTATTGTAAGGTTCTGGAATCATCAAAATGATAAGAAATTTGACCAAGTCTTAGTAAAGTTACAAACACTGTACACAGAAAGATGTATATGGGACTACACGAACACGTGGCGTAAAAATCCTACCCCCCCCCCCCCCGAATTTTAGGATTAGAATATGAAGGCATTTGAAGAGCCATGCTTTTTAGGGAACATGTCTTATCTGATGTTCTTTCACACTTGCATAATAAGAATGATAACGCTCACAAATTATTTTCACCTCTTCCCAGAACTCAACCTTCTCTTTAAGCAGGACTGCACTACTTGTAGCCACATGCGCCCTCTTTATAGCAAACAATGCCTAAGCAGTACCTGTTGGTCCCTATTGATCAGCTTTTTCTTATTTTCTAGTAATTGAGAGCTGAATTGATGAGATAACCACCTGTCAGTGACCATCCTGGCCAAACTAGTGCAGACAGGCTTTAAGATGTGGAAATAGAAGCTATGTGGAGTTGTGGTTACAGGATAATTGATGAAATGCTTCTCTTTTATTCTTTCTTTCTTGTGTCATAGTGTTTGCCAATAGTGATCCTACCCACTTTGATGTGGACTATCTGGCACAAGCAGGAGGCTCAGATGAAGTAAGTCTTGATAAATTACTTTTTTTAATTTTTAAAGTCAATTTAGGTCTTGAGATCTTATCTAAGATTTTGACAAAAGATCACAGTGGTGTACCGATATATGGTTTTTCTTTTTACAGATTAATACTTGAAGACAATTGTAATTATATGTAGCTAAAACGCCTGAAAATGGTTATTTATTCTGTTTACTTCCCAATTTTTTATTTCCATGGAAATCGTGTGATTAAAATGTCTCCTCCCCCCCCCCCCCATTTTTATGTTTATAAAGCTAAATTCATGACATTGAAGGGGTTGGTGAAAAAATATGTATTGAAAAAGTCTTCTAATTTGTTTGGAGTTTCATGCAGTTAAATTGGTTTACACACTTAAAATAAAAAAAGTTGTAGATATAGCACTGATCTGCTGAAAAGTTTGTTTTGTGGTATTGCTACGTATACACAATAAGAAGCCTGACAATTATTGACAGTTTGACACAGTCGTATGTGATTATTTGATTAAAGGGATCCGGTATCTTTGTCTCAGATTCTGAAACAAAATCCTGGATTTAGCTCATGCTGCAATAATAATCATAAACCTTTAGGTCAGTCAGGAAACCCAAGACTTTCACAAGCCGATCGCCTGTCTGATTATCAAGATATTTATGATAGAAAATCAAAACCAAATTTTATGTTTTCCTAACAGTTTTCATAACACTACAGTCTATTGGGAAAAACGAGTATCATAAACTGGTCACTCAAAGATTTTTACTTTTCTGAGGCACTTCATGATCATTTTGAAGCGCAATTTTTTTAGGGCTTCAATATTACACCATATCACAGACACTGATAACACGTAGGGCCGTGCATCTCAGATCTACCATTGTTAAACGATGCCTTTAACTTATTGTTCTATTGATCCAACAGTTCAAGGAGTCGGCGTTGGCCAGGCAGTCTCTTTACGTCAAGTTCGATCCTCTTGTCAAAGGATGCCCAACACCACAAGGTAAAGAGATTTCACTTTTTCAGGGGTGGGAAGAAAGAGGAGGAAATGGAGAACGAGAGATTTCTCATAGTAGAAAGTATTTCATTGGTGATGTGTGTATGCATGAGGAAAGCAGTAGTGAATTGGAAATCTATTTTAAACAATCATCATGGAATGTACCCCAAATAAAGTTGCATGTAAGCTTTTACAACAAAATAATTTATATTTAAAACAATGCAATCTACATGTACCTGAAAAAAGTTGCTTTTAACCCTATGTTAACTGGGGGGGGGGGGGGGGGTCAATTTGACCCCCCCCTGTAGAAATTTCGCGACTACTCCGAAACCGCGGCAGATATAAAATTTTCCTTTCACGACTTTTTACTTTAGAGTCTTACGCATCTTTTAAAACAATTTTTTCGAAAATCGGACCTACGGTTACAAGGTCACGTGACCTTTTGTCTTTGCATGTCGGCCCGAAAATCGCTCATTTTCATGATTTGTGTACAAAACATATGTAAAAGTCATTTTTCCTAAAAACAGATAAAACATTGGTTATTGAGTCTTGTTTAAAGTTTAGATGTTTGTTTGGGGTCAAAATAGTTGAATTGTAGTTATAAATGAAATAAAACAACAAAAACAATAAAATACATAAGTTAAAAAAACAATGAAATACATAAGAAATTATCAAAACAAGAGATAACATAAGGAATAACCTGGCTCTTCCAATTTTTTGTGTTGTATTATTATTCCAAATGGTCTAATAAATATATGTAGTGAAAAAGAATACTTAAATATGAATAATCTATGATTTATGGGCAGAAATGTGAATTTTATGACCTTATTTGCATAAATTAGCATAAATATGCAAATGAGTGAATTTTTCAAAAATTTGAAATTACCATAGTATTCTTTACACTTCACTTGACATGCATGCAAATTTTCGCGGCGATCGGCGGTGAAACGGCCGAGATCTTAGGGGGGGGGTCAAATTGACCCCCCCCCCCAGTAAAAACCTGGTCTGAAATAGCCCAGTTAAGATAGGGTTAAGCATTTACTTCTAAATAATATATATTTAAAAAAATGGAATCTACCCAAACAAAGTTGCCTGTTATTACATCAAAATGATTTCTAATTAAAGCTATGGAATCTACCTAAACAAAGTGCCTTGTTACCATTCACAACAAAATGATTGTGTAAGTATGTAGATGCAGGGAGAAAGAGTGAGGGGATAGAGAGAATATGACAAACTCTGAAGAGTGCTGGTGAACAAGACAAACAAATAGAGAGAGAGATGCGGAAGAAGAGGAGATTCTAATCATTTTCATCATAAAATATTTAATGCTGCTATGAGGCGATAGAGAGAAACAGAAAGAAGAATTTGTCTGACGTTTATTATCGTCTCCAACATTTTTTTTCTTCCAATCTTGCCTGGACCCCTAGGCCCATCGGCTCTGCCTGCCTTAGAGCCAGAGGGCGGAGACCTGCTTCAGATGCAGACCCCTCCCCCAGGCCAGGTCCTTGACGGTAGGGCCAAGAGGAGAGCAGCCGCCAACGAGAGGTCCAACACCAGTCCAGAGAACACGGCGGCCAGTAAGAACGTGGAAAACCTACTGCAGTACACTCCTAAGAGTGATTTCGATTCAGAGGTAAGCACTTGTCGGCTACATGTAGGTGCACACATTTTTTCTTTCTCAGACACGTCCAGCTCTGTAGTAAAATCCTTAAAGTAGTCTTACTGATCAAATATAACAACTTCCCTCTTCAAAATATGTTTGGGACCCATAGTAATCATCTCTCAAAAATGTTAATTTTGAGATCCAGATTTTCTGCCTTCAGTGGTCAAGATTCGTGAAGTCACCTGCGAGACAACGAGCTAGCCATAAAGCAATTTACGCCTCTTCATGATATCTATATGATTTTTAAGCAAATTATTCATGTTTTTCAACAGAAGATTGTTGTCAAGAACTTTCTTTGGGTGACTACTTTAAGATTGAAACCTTAACTCAATTCTTGTAGTGGCTACATGTACATGTAGGTGCTCACATGATTTCAATTTAGTTCCACCTTTGTACTAGAATCTGGAAAAGATTGAACACCTGGAACTTATGTTATGATATATTGCTCCAATGACTATCGTTTCACAGTCAGGTTACAATACTTGTCAAATTCCTAACTTCATTCCAGGAATCAAAGAAATCTAAAACCCAATTACATTCCAAAGCTATTTAGCCCTGTGCAAGTGTAGTCGGCTTGAGTGTCAGATCACCAAATTCTGAGGCTACTCTTAGGCACATACAGGACCTCATCTATAACAAATAGGCCAGTTATTTGGGGATATTGAAAGACATGTTTTATATGTTCTGTAATTCTCTATGAAATGATACTTGATATATTTTGATTTGATTATGCCTTAAACAGTGGGGATATCATGTTTACACATTTGATTTTGTCATACCAATATTGTTACGAAATACCAACAAGGGTATACCAAACTGTGATAGCACCAATTTGTAGATATTTGCAAGTTCTGTGCAAGGTTTGTGCATGCTCAAACTTTACTTCTTTACCAAAGCACTCACTTTGATGAAGTTCATTTTTGTCTCGAATTGCGTAATGCTGGTGAGACCGCCGAGAGCGTTTCCCTTGTTAATTCATTTACCCATCCCAATTTAGATACATTATATGGTTATTGCTATGTTTTTGTTGTATTTTTTTTGTTTAGGATCCAATGGATAGTGCCAACTCAAGCACTGAAATTCCTTCCTCAGTACCTCAGACAGTCACCAGCAGTGATGAAGGCATAGTACAGGTAAAGCAATGCCATGGTGATTGTGGTGATTGTGGTGATGGTGGTGGTGGTGGTGGTGGTGGTGGTGATGGTGATGATAATGGTGATGATGATGATGATGATGATGATGGAGGTGGTGGTGATGGTGGTGGTGATGATGATGGTGGTGATGTTGATGGTGGTGATGTTGATGGTGGTGGTGGTGATGTTGATGGTGATGGTGGTGATGGTGGTGGTGGTGGTGATGATGATGGTGGTGATGATGATGATGATGATGATGATGATGATGATGATGGTGATGTAGATGATGGTGATAATGCAGAAGAGAAGGATGAAGAGAAAGAAAGAGGAAGAGAAGGAGTGTAGTGATGACGATAGAAAGGATGATAGATGGTGATGTCGGTAATAATGATGATGGGTAATGCTGATGGTGATAGTGATAAGGATGGTGTTGATGATATATGATTTTGATCTTCTACATACACAATTTCAAACACGCACACACAAACACCAGAAAAAAAAACTTTAGGTGTAACCTACTCTATACACTTTTCCCGTATACAGACATGGCATGTCTTTCAGAGGCATCTACCAAAAGATTTACAATGAAAAATATTTCTTATGTGCCTCTTTACAACGCTATGAATTACTTTTCTCTCCTCATTTTTCCTCCAATTCTATTTTTCTCTAATTTTTGTTTTTTCTACAATTTACCTTTCCTTTGCGTAGATCCTGCGTTACTCACAGGCAGATATGGATGCTGCAGTGTTAGAGGCTGCTAGGTCAGCAAGCATCGAAGCACAGAGAGTTGTAAGTGTATCAATAACTATTTTATATTTCATGATAAAGTTTTTTCTTCTACTTTTATTGTGTAAAAAATCTTGCCAGGAATGCATGAAATAAATGTGGAAATCTTATTTATAACACTTCCAGCTCTTCTTTCATTTTCCATTTGCCCCATTTAATAAGAATAAAATCTCAGTCTATTCAAAATAATATGCATATTTCTGTTATTATTAAAGCAACCCTGCCCCTCCCCCCCCCCCAAAAAAGAAAAAAAATATGACTAATTATTAAAGGGGTGGGAATAGGACAGCTTAACAATCTTATTTTTATTTTATATTGCTGCTCATTTCTTTAAAATTCAAGAAATGAACTTAGCTGTCTTAAAGAATAATCACTAGATCACTTAATGGCTTGATCACTAATCCAATATCATTGTTAATTGGGAAAACCAAATCGATATGGCTGATTAGAGGGGTAGAGGTGTTGTGGTCTAGTGGATAAGTCATCGAACTGTGGATCACAGGGTTCGCGGTTTGAATCCCGCCGCTGCACCAATGTCCTTTGGTAAGACCTTAATCTACATTTGCCACTCTCCACCCAGATGTTAAATGGGTACCGGTAGGAAGGAATTCCTTGAATGCTGTGAGCGCCGAAATCGGCAGCATAGCAGAGCCGGGTAATTATTCAAGGCGCCTTGAGCACCTTGCATGGTGGATATGTGCGTGATATAGATATCCGATATTATTATTATTATTTTGCTCATGTTACTCTGCAGGCTGAAGAGAAATACAAGGAATATGAAAAGAAGTTCCATTCAAGCAACGAGAATATCAAAGAAGTCACCAAGTCCAAGGAGGTGTTAGAGAAATCCAGTTCAGATATGAGGTGAGTAATACAACTCCAGCGGTAATGGTGAGGGTACCATACTACAGTCAAACCTGCTTTAGTGACCACCTGTCTACAAAGACCACTTTTTGTTTTTCCCTTGGGTGGTCGTTATAGATAAGTTTGACTGTAGAAGCAAATGCTGGAACTTCATTGAATATTGCTGTGAGGTAGCTTAACAAAACTAAGTGGCATGAAATAATGCACCCAGCGTGCAGAATGCAAACTTGTAATTTCATGGCATTGAGGTCGAACTGTATCATTAGGACATGGGGCTAGTAAATATCTGTACTACCATCATTAGACTTGTTCTTCTTATCTTACCGAAACATGTCATTCAGGGACTTGTTTCTCAAAGCCTTTTTTCAATGACAAATGACAACAAATCTGTGAAAAGTCTGCTGATAACCAATCAGAAGCAAGGATTTCACTAGCTTATAAGCAAAAATTGTCATTTGTCACTGATGACAAGTTTTGTGAAATGGGGCCCGATATTGCTTTCAGTTGTGCCCTTGGCGCTGCGGCGCATCTTTTCATTCCACTTCATTTTGCTTTTAAAGCTTCCTTATCTAGCCTGAGGACATAAATCAGTGTCCACCCTAGTTCAGAGTTAAGATTTTGAACCTTCTGAACCTTCTGAAATTGGAGTCAGCAGGGCGGTATTCCGCATGTCGCTAACTTGTATGGCAGGTGATGCATGCTAGAGTGTGTTTCTGAAATTATCAACTGATGTAGCTATTACAGACTGCTGGTCGAGGGTATTCCATGCTCGTCCAGTTCTTGGAAAAAAGGAGTATTTGTATACGTCCTTTCTGGCAAAGGGGATTTCTATTGAGTGGTGGTGGTTTCTTAACCTTGACCCTGTTGATACTTTGATTCTTGTTGTAAAGCTTGAGACTTACAATTGACTACAGCAGACTACAACCATAAAGTCATGGCCTAGTTTCGGATGTTCAAACTTTTTATTGTTATGAATAATGTAGTATATTGCTTATTATTTTTTTAATTAATACAGAGCTTGTTATACAATTTTTCAAATTTACGTTATGTAGTGCTGTAAAACAACAAACTTTCTAAAATGTTGAGAGTGCACCAGTTTACGCAAGTATCATTTTAACAGCTTGCAAAAGTTTTTGGTTATAGAGTATACGTTGTACAAATTAGATCTCTTGAAAAAGCATGAAATACATATTTTTTGTTTGTATAATTATGTTATGTTAATTATCTTGCAGAGCACTGATCATGGAATATGAGAAATCCATACAGCAACTAATGGGTGAGTTATTCTAAAATGTGCAAGGAGAATTTCAACATTTTTCAAGTCACATATTTTGTTATTTCTTGGGAACATTTGTACAGAAAATGAAAGAAATGTATATTGATGATAAAATCATATTACAAAAACTACAAGTCCTTATACAAAACTAGCTGATTGATTTTCTGTACACAGCATCACAGCTCAAATGCTAATATAAAAGAGTTGGGTCACGGTTGGGATGTCATTTTATGTATTTTCTTTTTTCTTTTGAATGTTTACAGTGGACGTGTCGCAGGCCAAGACTTCATCAGACGACAAGGCGTCGCAGCTGCAGAAAGAAAAGGACCAAGCCCTTGAGGACATGGCCTCAGTCGAGAGTGCCTTCAGCGACCTGCACAGGAGATACGAGAAGTTAAAACAGACACTTGATGGCTACAGAAAGGTATGGTTGGGTTTCTGTTTCCACAGAGTCATATTAAAGAGAAAGTTGAGTTCTGGTCATGCGGTTGCATTGTGAAAGAAACCTTGTGGAATCTATCAAAAAGGGTGATCATCTAGCACATAAGTAATGGTGTGTACTGCAAGGTTCTGGAATCATCAAAATTTGGCCCAGTCTTGGCAACGTTACAAGCACTGTACACAGAGAGATGTATATGGGACTACATGAACATGTGGCATAAAAATTTGTCCCGATTTATATGATGTTACATGCCATATTTCTAAATATTAAGGCATTTGAAGAGCCATGCTTTTCAGGGAACATTTTGGCCCGAATTCACAAAGGAGGTTTTACGACAAACCTCCTTTTGTTTCGACAAACCTCCTTTTGTTTCGACAAACCTCCTTTTGTTTTTTACAAACCAGGTTTGTAAAAAACGCGTCAAAACGCGTCATATGACGTACGAAAACCAAGGTTTGTCGACAAACCTCCTTTGTGAATTCGGGCCATATACACCAGTTTACAGTTGTATCAGTGCGCATGCGCAGACAGTTGATCTCGGGTCACTGGCCCCGGAAGCGGGGTCAGTGGCCCCGGAAGCGGGGCCAATAACTTTTGACCAGTGGTATTTATGCGTAAATTAAGATTGCGCCCATGCAAATGATGATGTGCGCGCACAACGCAGCGCGTAGGGCAGTGATATCATCAAAATTTGCATGGGCGCAATCCTAATTTACGCATAAATACATGACCTCTAGGTCATTGGCTTTGTTTAAAATGGCGCACACAACTGTAAACTGGTGTATTGTCTTAAGTTTTTCCACACTTGCATAATACAATGATAGCGCTCACAAATTATTTTTCTCCTCTTCCCAAAACTCGACCTTCTCTTTGAGCGTTGTTTACTCAAAATTTGTTTAAGCTACCTTTAAAATAATGCTTTCAAAATAAGATAACATAACGTAAGCATTGTGGTTAAACTTCTGTTTCTGTTTCTGTTTCCAGAGAGCCATATTTAGCCTTGCTCACTCAAAAACTTTGTTAAACTATCTTTTAAAAAAGTGCTTTGGCAAATAAAGTAACATAACTGTGAGCATAGTGCTCTTCACATTGTTACAGTGCACTCTGTATGTCCATACTGCATTTCACATCTCAAAGTATCCTACAAGTCGACCAACTGTGCCAACTTTGTTGCAATCAGCGCCCTTTTTTCACCGTCACGTGGCAGTTATTTGTTCCTAAAATATGTCTCATTTTAAATCGGCTTTATTTTTTAGGCAGTTTGCCAAATCATGTGCAATAGGAGGCTGATTATGAAAATGTCCTTGATGCTTGCATAAATGAAAATAGAGATATTCAAGCGATGTTCATTCTGTTCCATGGATAGATATCACATTCTAACATCTACGTGCAGTTGTTTACTAGAAATAATGACTCCATATGTATTTAGTCTTTGGTGCATAGCCCATTTCATATTTGCTGTTGTTTCACACTCCCTTAAAGATGGTTTGTCCTCTTTTGCAGACATTTAAACATGAAGTTCCATGAATCCATTGGTATATGGAAGAGGTCTGTTATTGGGAACCTCCCACCATGTGAAAAAATTAAAAGTGGAAGTGTTGTGGTCTAGTGGTTAAATCGTCAGACTTTGGATCACGGTCCGGGGTTCGGGTACCGCCACAGCACTAATGTCCTTTGGCAAGACATTAATCTACATTTGCCACTCTCCACCCAGGTGTGAAATGGGTACCGGTAGGTAGGAATTCCTTGAATGCTGTAAGCACCGAAATCGGTGGCCAAGCAGAGCCGGGGTAATATTGGGAGTGCCTTCAGCACCTAGCATGGTGGATATGTGCGCTATATGAATATCCAATATTATATATATTTTAAACACTCACCAAGTATCATGGAGTTCGCACAAGTCTGCAAAACGGACTTATGCCTTTAATTATTTCTTTCACTTCCTTTTGTCTTTGTCACAGAATGAGGAGACATTGAAGAAGCATGTAACTGAATACCAGGGCAAGGTGAAGAAACAAGAGCAGAGATACCAGACACTTAAATCACATGCAGAGGAGAAAATAGAAAAGTGAGTCCAATCACTAATATTATAATGAACATTACTGTATAAGCCAACATTATCACGTATCAATACTAATACAGATAGCAGACGAAATATTTTTTGTGAAATGTCACAAATTTGTCTGTAGTGGTCAACTCTATTGTTTCCTTTAGGAGGAAACGTTTGTTGAAAAGCCTGTATAAAAAGGCCACCACCTGTCTAGAGTGACCGCTTTTTGTGCTAATTTCCCTTGGGTGATCTTGATGAACAGGTTCAACTATTAAAATGAAAGACCTATGGAAAATTGGAAATTAACTTCTCATTAATTTTCTATATTCTCTGTATTTTTCTGCGCAGAGCCAATGAACAAATCACCAAGGTAACCAAGAGTTACCAGTCAGAGATTGCTGGTCTCACGGCAAACTTGAAGAGAGAACAGATGAACGTAGAAGGTCTGGAGAAAACCATTCAACAAAAGGTAAGATCCGTCTTGGTTACTTGTTATGTAAGTCTAAGAAAAATTGAGTTTTTATCGTTTGATTACATTGTGAAAGAAAAGAATCTGCCTGGAAGCACTGGATCATTTTCGTAATGTAATCAAATTTAATGCACAAATCTTTGTTAAATGCCTTCACCTTGTTACAAATTATTTCATTCACCTGTTACAAATCATTGTATTTCAATAGTCAGTTTGCAAACATGTCATTAAAGATGATGGCTTAACCTACCTATCAACACATTATGTATGCACTTTGCATTCTGACTATTGAAATACGGTTATTCGTAAACAAGTGAATGAAATCATTTATAGCGAGGCAATTAACAAAGATTTCTGCATTCAATTTGATTATATTACAAAAATGGGAAATGTAAATTATTGAATACATAAGAATTTTACATCCAAGATTTGGGAATGATCAAAATAAATGTTTGGTCCATCATTTTCATTTTGTTGTTGTTGTCCTATTTCAAATATGACGGCATTTTAAAGAGCACTCCTTTCCAAGAGACATTTCTACTATGGTATCTTTTGTGACTGACATACAAATAATAAAACAGCTCGCAAAGTATTTTCCATCTTTAATAGAAGACAATCATTTCTTTAAGTTTATATAATCAGTGTCCAAGGGCAAACAACCTTTGTGAAATTAACAAGAACTTCTAAATCTAGAAGAAAACAAAATATTTAGAGATATGTCAAGACCCTTGCAATTCATCAATGTCTTAAAATGAGCCATCAATGTGAAAAAAGATTATTAGAAGTGATCCTTCTTTTTTTTCTTTCCACCAACTTCATTGATGCAATGCCTTCCTCTCATTCTCTATTGCAGACCAAACAATGTGGAGAGTTGACAAATATTTGTGATGAACTTATTTCCAAAATGGGAAGCAGCGGTCAATGAGAACAATAAAAGTGCGAGAGCAGCTTTCTGATTCGGCTGGAATAAAAGGCAATCATCGATCTGCTTTGAACACTTATTCTTGTGGATCATATAGTACTTGTGTAACATATATGGAGATCGACTTCAGACAGAGATGGACTCGCGGAAGCTCATGCATTGTGGAGAATATACATTTTGTTTACATCGATGAGTCGTGTATGACGTATGTATTATTACGATGTGTGAGTAATAGAACGATACGGACAACTTTGTGAATAGCTGGATATGCTGTGATGCCAAATTTTTGGATTTATCTGAGAATATTATACGATAGTAGAACGACTTTTTGTTATCTTGCGGGTACTTTAGATGTACTGTATGCCTGGTACGGCAGTCATGCTGATGTTGTTGAACACATGTGCACTGTATTTCTAAGATGTACTTTTTTTACGAAGGAAGAAAAATTGTTCTAAAGAAGAACAATTATTGCCAGACCTTGCAATTTAAGAATAGCATCAGTTATCTTGTGTAGGGATGGACTCCATTGTAGGATTGGACGGCTATGAAATAAAACAAGATGCTAGAAACATTTAGAGTAATATAATGTTAATATTCTAGTGTCTCATACCATAGCCTTCATTGAACGTGAATACTATTAGAATTAAACATAAGCTAATAAAGAGAGATAGTTATGTGCACATACAGTTTCCTCCCACATTTAATGAACCATGAATGTGCACGCCTTTCTGTGACAAAACTCTCTGTACTCTAATAGCTATGGAATCCGCCTGTAGGAGGCCGTTTAGTTTACATACATACATGCACCCCCTCTAATTTAGTCTTCACTGCACTGGTTAATTATTGAAAGCTGGAAACGAATCGTAACTGAACATGAAACGGAGTGTGATCGTATGTAGAATCATTGAGCCTCATTTACACTTGACACAGTAAACCCGCCTGCAGCAAAGTGCCCGATGGGTTAAACAAAAAGTGGCCGCAGGAAACAACACCCCCTACGAGTTCCCTGTAGGATATGTACTACAAGATACAGGAACGTGAAGCCTGCTATTCTTATGTCATTGTATAATGCTGCCGCCATTTGTTCTGGCAGTTTACCGTGTTAGGTGAGAATGAGGCTTCTCTCGCTAATGATTTCTATGTGATTTGGAGATGTCGCCATCAAATTTTTGATGGAATGTGAGGATATTGCGCTTATGGTCCACTGTTTGCACTGCAGATTAGAAAATTCAGTAATGCCCACTTTGTGAAAACTGAAAAATTAGGTCGGTTAGATTATACATGTATAGGCTAGTTGGAATTTGTCACAAAGTCATATAAACCTATAGTGATCTCGTTTGAAACTTTTATTTAGATTTCTTTCATTTTATTTGGCCAGTCAATGATGATCTTGCAAGTATGCTTGATATCTTTGTTCTTCTGCGATTAATTGTGTTGTAAGTATATCGTACATTCACAGTAATTTATTTTTACATAATCTGCACATACCTGTATAGACAAATAATGAATTTATGAATGTATCAAATGTGTGTATCTTACGTAACACTTATAATATGCTGGATATAACGTTTGCTTTGTAACACATAATATAATATCCATCCATGATTACTATGTGCTCTTTGATTCAGGGTAGTAAATGTAATACGTTTTAAACAGATATATGATGCTATAGGATACTGTCAGCGCAGGGCTACATACACTGTAGTTCCATTACTGGTCGCATCAGGGTGACCATAATAGTAATGTAATGGTTATAAGGTTTGCTTAACCTAACTGCTAAGAAATCATGTATATGCTTGTATTAAAGTAAGCAACCTGGGGATTGACAGCTTTAAATCCTCTCCGAGGGACTTGGTTATGAGGATCATAGCCTTACCTAAGGGCATGAGCCCATTGACTTGGTTTTGAACCCAGGGCCTCCCGGTAACGAGACCACTGCTCTACCACTGAGCCATGGCGTCTCCTCTAGTGCACTATGATCAAGGGATAATGAGCAAGGGAATACACCTGTTTACTAATATATTTAAATTCATGCAGGTTTCTCTTCAGATCCCCTGGTCACTGGTTGATTCACTTGCCATACATCGATTGTACATCTCTATAGATGTACATTGCATACAATTAATTATGTTGCTGTGTATGGTAAACCTCTGGCAAGCTTTCGAGTGGACGGAAACCTTTTTAATTGCATAAAACAAGTCTATTACTACCAAACTAGCTTTATTTGGAAGGCATTGTAACTTAATTAAGATTTAAAATTTAATTTCTTTGACAATTTATAAATTTCATTGATAAGTAATGTGGTACAAGCCAATCCATCTCTACTCACCATAACTTGTTTTAAGCAAGCAATCTCATGACATGCCTCTACATGTACGTCCATTGCGTTTAAAAAAACTTTTAATCTGGTTGAAACAGCTTTACGTACCTTGTAGATCAACTTGGGTTATTTATCTTGCAGGCAAGAATTTGACTGGATGAAAGTTTTATAGACAAGATAGGCTGTATCAAACTAAAACTCCACTGGACAGTCTTGTGCAGTTCAGACCCTAACATCACAAATATGAAGGGAAAATATTGGCATATTCACTGTCCCGAGAATTCAAGCTTATCGATCAATATCCAAGTGTGTTTAAGGATGTTTTATAACCGACAAGGCATCCCTGTGCTACTTGATCATTGAAAAATGATTGTGTCACGCTGATAGTTTGTTGTGCAGGCTATTTATAATGCAATGTGCTTTCCTTGAGGATAGTGAAAAGTGTTGTAAATGCTGGATGAGTTGTGACTTTTATTGTTGTTCAGTGCTTTACTAGGACAGGGGGGTGTTTCACAAAGATCCTAAGTTGAACTTATCTTCAAGCATAGAATGTTGATTCAAATCATTCATATTTTCTATTATCAAGGAGATTTCATATTCTTGATGTGGAATTTATGAAAAGTCTATAATGCTTGATTTTTGCTTTGAATATATTTTATTTTAAGGCTACAAATGGCTCTCCATTATGTTTAAGTCCAATTAAGAGTTAAGTTTGACATAGGATCTTTGTGAAACATCCCCCAGGACACGTATAATGTAGGTAGCTGTCGTATTTCGGCAATGATGAGGGTTGAACTGGTGTCAACACATTTTCTTTCTATTTTGATGTGATGTTCATTGTCAGATTTCAAAGTGCTTTTGTGATGATATTACTGCTATTGCCTTCTTGAGTTTCAGTAGAGAGATATCAGTTTATTTTCAAATATATGTATTTCAGACGGAGTGACATAATGGACGAGATTGTAGTCATTACCTCAAAGACATTTAGATGTAAATTTGCTGAATGTGTACTTTGAAATCTTATCTTTGGTAGCATTCACAAGCAGTGTACAAAGTGTGTATTTTGTACTGATTGAATATTGTGGAAAGTACTCTGAACTTTTATGGTAGGTAATCAATCTTGATTGTACGCTAATCAATTTTGAAGTTTGGCTTTGTTTTCAAACTTATTTGGAAAAGATTTGCAACATTAAGGAAATTCGAACACCTCCAAGAGAAATCACAGATGCTTCTATCATTCTATGAATTCTTGATATAGATTGATCGTTTTGTTTAGGAATTTTGAACTATAGATATACAGCTGTAGATGAAGGATGGCTGTCCTGTCGAAATATGAACTTTGGAGACAAACTACTAAAAGTTGTAATGATCAAATATTATCCAGAAAAGTCCAAGAATATTTGAGTTTACACAAGTTCAGTCATTACTTGTTTGTCCCAGCCCTAACTCCACCTCCCCCCCCCCCCAAAAAAAAAAAATCATACAAATTATCACCCTGTGCTATATAACAACATGGATATAGAAAAATTGAGCTTACTATTACCCCAAAAAAGCCATTCGAACATATTAATGTCTACAGGCATGCAATGTCAAATATGTTATCTCCTTATTCATAAATCATACACGAAGGAACGTCATAATCACAAGTTTGTTGTGCTTATCATCAATCATAGAAGACCGAAAAGGTGAAAATGTCAGATGCAACATTAAAAATAAAAATAATTTGCTTTCTTTGGAAGTATTTTCCAGAAAAAAATGATTGTTTTGCAAAGTTGAGTGATTTATGGAAGTGACAAATATTTATTGAGGTAGAGGTGTGAAAAGTTCAAAGTCTCTTACCGGTAATATTTTCACAATCTGGATTATGATGTCTAGATTGTATTATTACAATCTTGCTTCTCAATACAACAAAATCCAGGGGAGAGTTTCACAAAGATCCTAAGTTGAACTTGTCTCTAAGTTGGACTTAACAATTATGGAAAGCCATTAGCATCCTAAGAAATATTTTGTCAAAGTTATTTTAAAAGGCATAAAATGTTGATTAAAATCATTCATATTTTCTATTATCATGGGAGATTTCATGTTCTTGATGTGGAAGTTATGAAAAGTCTAAAATACTTGAATTTTTGCTTTTGAATATATTTCATTATAAGGCAACAAATGGCTCTCTGTAATATTTAAGTCCAACTTAGAGTTAGTGAAACACCCCTCAGTAGAGGCCCTCAACTCGAATTTAAATTTTAGGAATTAAATTTTATTCTTGTGTGCAAATTGAGTAGATTGAAGAAAATGTAACTTTTGTACAGTTTGCAGCAGCCTTATTTTATTTACTTTGCTTGTAAATATGGCGTGTACATTGACCATTTTGACACAGAGCATGATTGCAATGAAATGTACTAAAGATTTGTTCATAAATGGAATATAATAATAACGACCTATCTCATTGACATGAATGTATGCTAGATACTTTGTCCTGTGTATATTTCCTGCTTATTTTTTCCCCATTCTTTTTTTTTCTTCAATGACTATTTTGAGCTTCCGTTGAGATTTATGTTACAAAGTTTTCTTTGTACAATTCATGACAAAGATGACTTGTCTATTAAAAATTATTGTGGAAAATCTTAAGTCTTTGTGATGTTTTTTTCATTCATACTGTCAAATTCTGATTATCAAATTGCTGAATGAAAAGGGAAGAGAATCTAACATGGCCCTTTAATGTAGAGAGTTATCAATTCATAGCTCAATTACATCTTTCCAATTAGTAGTTACACATCAAACAATTTTATTTTAGAGAAAAGAATTCATCTTAAAATGCAATCATTTGATTGTACTTTGTTTTATGTTATGGGGGCCTTGTAGGATTAAAAAAAATTTTTGGTAGAAACTATACAGCACCTGTAGCAAAAAATTAAATCAAATAAATCATTTAAACACACTTCACAACAAAACAATTATGCCTTCATAAATATTGTGAGCAGCAAAAAGGTAATGGCGATGATGGTAAATAATGATGTTGATGTTGATGATGATGACAAGTGGTGAAGATGATGTTGATGATGAACACAAAAAGATGATTATGATGAAGACAAATGATGAAAAAGTTAATGAGGATGTTAATGAGAATGATGACAAATGGTGAAGATGATGACAAATGAAGATGCCGATGATGATGTTGCTGCTGCTGTGGCTCGATCCTGATGATGATGTTAAAGATTTTGATGTTGATGATGTTGCTGATAATGTATATCTGTACTTTCATATGAGCAGCTTCGACTTTTATCCCCTTAGAAATAAAATAGAACAGCTGGCATTAAATACATGTAATATCATGCATACAGTAGGTTAATTGAT